GTATCTTGGAATAATTCATTTTTGCGTTGAAGTACGTCTTTCCTTTTTTTCGGACGAATTAAAATATAAATGCACATGATGGTAGGACAACTCCTTAACAATTTCTCGATTAATAACTTTCCCATAAAACCTGTTCCGCCAGTTATGAATATACTTTGACCATCATAGAACTTCTGGATTGGAGTAAGCTTCTTTGTCACTATTGTCTTTGTTTCTTTCTTGTCACTATTACTGGATGATTGCATTTTTTTAGGATTAATAGATAATTTTTTATGATTTCTGGTTTAGACTTTATCTTAGACACTTACAATAATTAAGGATTAACTTGGTTTAATTTCTGTTTATTTATATTAAAAATATTATACACATGTAACAAAAGATTTCTGATAAAAGACTGGACCGCTTTACGGACTGTCCGGACTCGAACTGATATCTATCGCTTTTTGATGGCTGCTTTTATATACTGAGCAATCCAGTGTGTACTAATTAATTACATTTCGAAAGCTTTATAGAAGTTTGGCATATAGGCGATCGCTTTTCACTATAATCTACCCCTCCTCCTTACAAAAAATTCATCTGAGTCCGAATGTTCTGTTACTTAACTTCTCTCTTTTACATTTCTAATTCTTTACACGTGTCATTCTGAACGCGATTCTGGGCGCCTTAAATCTCTTTTGTAAATATTTTAGCTAAAACAGTTCCACATCGCCAGTATTTTAAAACCACTTCTTCTAATTTTTTTTTCCTTATTTTTCTTGTGTTTTTGTTAGATTTTAGAAGATGTTACCTAAAAATATCTCTATATCAGCAGACTTTTTAATTGCCAAATTCGTGGAAAAAGACTGGACTGCTGGACGTACTGGAATTCGTGTCTTTCATTTTTCGGGAACTTGCTCTTATTTATTGAGTTATCCAGTAYCCACTGATTGATTGATCTTTCTTACAAATGCTTAATAAGTATTTGCATGGAAAAATCTAGAACACTTATTAGGTTTCTATGCGAAGACAAAGTATAATTATTGCAGTAATTTAAATAAACTTACACAAAACGCGATTAAGACCCGAATTATCGTAACTATCAATTCTTATTAACTATGTGATTGTATTATTCTCAGTATGTGCAAGTGTTGACRTCTAGCATAGAACTAATGGATAAATTTAGCAGTTCTTATTTCTTGAACCGGTTTACAATCTTGCATTTGCCATAAATATTCATGATCTAAAGTTTTATCTCGTAACATTAGAATAATGTTGTATAAAWTGCACGTTTTCAGCTAATAAAAAAGRCYTTTTTATTACTTTGTTTATGTATTGTATTCTATAAGCTGATAAGAAAAACAATAAAACGATTTTTTACATATATTTATTATATAAAATGATCAATGTGATTAGAATTGTTACACTAACGTGAAAGTGGTATTGACAATTTTTAGATGAAGGTTCAAATTTCCAACACTAAACCGGTAATGAATAAACTACAAAAAACATATTTAAAATTCTATTTATGCAAATTAATATTTCGTTATGAATATATTTCTAGATTCATTTACATAATTTACGTTAACACATATAGCTGCGTAAACGTAAAAAAATGTAGAAATTAAAATAGTTTCGATTCAGATTAAAGAAAATAAATACTATTATATAATACAATTGACATTTAAGTTTAACGAAAATCACAAAGTTTTCATTTCAATTCCATATACTTAATCTCTTATATACGCAAGGGTAAAAGTAGGAACTTCCAATTTACAACATGCATTTCTTAAAATGTAATACTTAAAAAATCTGTATTTATTATTAAAGATTCATAAAGTAGAAAAGTGTTTAATTAAAACTTTTTTGCAATAAAAAATAACACTTCTTGCTCCGTGTCCAAATATCCCGATGAAAAATTTTTATTTTAGACATACGCAAATGTGATAATAAATCAATATACATACAATCGTGATAAAAATACTAGCAAATAAAAATTTTAATGTCTGATGAATCCAGTATAGCCTAAAAAATATGAAATATTATAAGAATTATTTGAAAGAAATTTTAAATAATGGACTTATATTTAAAAGACAAAAAAAGGATAAATACCTTCTCCACTTTTTACGAGCTTGTGGTACAGTTTCCATTAGATCCTTTAAGAGGTATAATCTTATACCTAATAGAAAAGTTCTAAAATAGTTATCCCAAAAGACGTCTTTCATATCGCAATAGAATGATTCTCGATCTTCGTTTTGTAATTTACTGAATGTTTCTGTCCATCTTTTATTTTTAATCTTCCATTCTTTTAAACAAAAATAACTAAGTACTTCTAACATTTTGTGTAATCTAATATACATTCTAACAAACCTA